CCACCTCACTGAAGCCACAAGACTTGTGACTTCTCAGTGTCCATCAGTCTGTCGAAGACAAGTTACGTAACGCTGCGGTTAGACTCGTGTTACCATGAATCCGGAACATGGCCACATGGCTTACAGTACCAGAACACGCAATTCGCTATCGGATAAACCGGAACCTCTCAAAGGCATCAGCAAGGCACCGCTGCCACTGGCAAGCGCGTGCCTGCAGTGAGTACTGCGAGATCACCTGTACCCAATCAGACTTGAATAAGTGATTACAAACCAAACACCCTAACCACTGTACCACCGGCTAACTTACTTTGGATCATGTCTTCTGGATGCCCATTGATCTCATTCTTCAGTATAGATTATATGATATTGATGTACTTGGTTTGGTGAAACTGTGACCTGGTTGGTTTCTAACATGTCATAACGGCATGAAGTCAACGGAAAGACTTGGTCGGATTATGCCACAATGGTGTTTGGAAAGACAGTCGCGGATATAGCTTAATATCATCATCATCATCAACAACAACAGCAGTACATCAGCCATTTGAACTGGTGCTTCGCTGCCATACAACCATGAGGACCTATTAAATAAAGAATTAGAAGAGGGAAAGAAGGAGGACTTACCTGAAAACCTTAATGCCCTAAGCAAACATTCAGGGTCAAGGCGCCTACACCTTGTGTAGTCAACATACGGTCACAAACAGCTGGCTATCGTGCAAAGATAAGGCGGCATCGGCGAGACAGCTTCCTTGCGGCTTTCACTGCCACACATCATAATCAGCCCTTACCCTGCAGATAAATCAGCACCAAACACACTTTAAACAGACAATCCGATTAGGAGACGGCAGCAGACGCGCCACTGGTGTCTACTGCGAGCCATGTCCTGTAAATTCTCGAGGCAAGCACAAGACGAGTCACGTGAACTCCAGCCCGGAAGGCGAGACGGACCAACGGCACCCAGTTTGGTAGTCAGTGACTTCATTTGTATAGCTTAATATATTATATAGCACTCGTGAAAGCCAGATACGTGAAGAGCAAGCTGGATTTCGTCGAGTTCGTGGCTGCATTGACCACATCTTCACCTCGCGTCAGTTGTTGGAGCACCGTCACATATATTGGCGGCCCACAATTGTCATGTTCCTCGTTATCAAAAGTGCATTCGATTCGGTGGATAGACATGCACTTTGAGACTGTCTACTCAAGAAAGGTGTACCTGAGAAATGTGTGAATATTATCCGAGCATTATATGTGCGTAGCTCGGGCAGAGTGAGGGCTAACGGCAAGTTGTCGTCGCCGTTTAATATCTCCAGCGGCGTGAGATAAGGATGCCCGCTGCCACCTTTCCTCTTCAACTTCGCTGTTGACGAAGTCATGGAAATCGCGTTCACAGGACACGACTTAGAAGGTGTGGAGCTACTCCCAGGAGAACGACTTCTTGACTTAGAGTATGCTGAAGATATTGCCATGATCTGTGACAGCTCATAAATGTGCCAAGCGGCACTGGACAGATTAGCACAAGTTGTGCGTCACTTCGGGCTTTGCTTCGCACTCTCGAAGTGCAAAGCGTTCCTCCAAGATTGGTCTGGACCGCCTCCTACGCTGACCGTTGGTGGGGATCAGCTGGAAGTCATTCAAAAATTCAACTACCTGGGAAGTTGTATCAGCGCCCGTGGGATTAAGGATGAGATCACGAACCGTATAGCAAAAGCTCGGGGCGCTTTTGCTAACCTTCGCCACTTATGGCGCCGGCGCGACATCACTCTTGCCCTGAAAGGTAGAGTGTACAGTGCAGCAGTACGTTCGACCTTACTGTACGGTTGTGAAACCTGGCCGCTTAAAGCAGCGGACATGAAGAGGCTAGTTACGTTCGACCACCGGTGCCTTCGTAATTTAGCTCACATCTGGTGGGAACACCGCGTGAGCAACGAGCCTGTTCTACGCCTTGTTTACGGCACAGGAAAAGGAAATGAACCGCTCAGCTCCGTTATTTCACGTACCATGCTCCGATGGCTCGGCCACGTGTTACGCATGCCAGCCCACTGACTCCCGCGACGTGCGTTGTTTGCGCGCCGGGGGTGTGAATGGAAAGAGAGGAGGGGTGGACGAGCGATGACTTGCTCCAGAGGAATAAATGCCCTCACTTCTGAGCTGGCTTCGGTTGGACGGTCTCGGCTTCGCGGTTGGGGTCCGAAAGACGATGAACACGTTTGGTTGGACACACTTGCTGACATGGCAAGGAGCCGACCTCAGTGGCGTTCGTGCTGTGAGTTTCTTTGTCCCACCCCATCCTTCATAGCCTCCCCCTCCAACCACGATCTCATTATTTAGCTTTATATAATTTCGCATAGTATTTTTTGATGCACAGTAGCCGGCTGGTAACTTACCGGAACGATGCCTATCCGTTACCGGTAGCTCAACCGGCTTGCACCAGTTGTATTTTTTTCTCCTTTTTTCTGTGTATTGCGGCACAGTAGCTGAGGTGTTCCCCACCTCTAGCTAACGTGTATGATGATGATGATGATGATGATGATGATGATGATGATGATGATGATGATGATTATGATGATGATGATGATGATGATGATGATGATGATGATGATGATGATGATGATGATGATGATGATGATGATGATGATGATGATGATGATGATGATGATGATGATGATGATGATGAGATGATGATGATGATGATGATGGATGATGATGATGATGATGATGATGATGATGATGATGATGATGATGATGATGATGATGATGATGATGATGATGATGATGATGATGATGATGATGATGATGATGATGATGATGATGATGATGTGATGATGATGATGATGATGATGATGATGATGATGATGATGATGATGATGATGATGATGATGATGATGATGATGATGATGATGATGATGATGATGATGATGATGATGATGTTGATGATGATAGCTTAATATTCGTATCTCTGGGTCTAGCTGTTGTGCTCCTATCCCGATGAAGTTTACTTGCTTTCTAGTTCTCTTGCATTCATTCTCCTCACTACTTTTAACTATTGTTCGGTGCCCAAATCGTGGTTATTTAACTAAACACTAGCTTAATATGTCGCTACCCAGTTACAGTGTCTACTCCATCCGCTAAGTTTATTGGCTCCATCTGGGGTGGTGTTTGAACGCTCTCGATTTTGTTTTCACGTTACCCGGGCTCGAACGTTTGCCTTCGCATTATTTAGCAACGGTAGTATTATCCTCTGCCCACCTGTTCCAACCAGTATGAAGGTAAGGGATTAACCCAGTTAACTAGTGCGGATCGGTGATAGTGGTAACGTACAACACGCAATCGTGCCATTTGTGCTGGTTACATGAATACCATACCTAATGGTTGGCTGCATCCGGTTTCGGATTTGCCTGTCACTGTGGCCAGCCACAGGACGCCTGCACCTACAGAGGGACCATGGATGGCTTGCGCTGCACCACCCACAGCTCCATCCACACACCCCATATCCAGTGTAAACCCAAAGGAATAAGACTGGGAGGCATGCGGATGGGAGTCACGTTTTTTCAACGGATCCGGCCCACACTCCTTCACAGGCAAACACAAGCACGCTGTATTTGGGGAATCAAGTGCACACAAGGCGGTGGCTGGACCGTAGTCCGCTCCACACTGAGGGCATGGAACCACTCTTCGAGCCTAGCACGACCACAAGGACCGTGTACCCCGTCCCCTCCAGCAACGACCAACTGCCTCCTGGAGCCAGATGGACGAGGTAGTGGGTAATAGACAGGTAGGCACCTTGTTAACATGCACATCAAGCGCAGCCACACCTGGGATGTCAAACAACAGCCAATCACTCAAAATGCCGATATCGAATAAAGTAAACGCATATGACGACATAAATGCTCGCTAAATGAGCATATAGAAGAAATTGGTTATAAGTGAATCCGTGATAAGTACAAAATGTCTGAAAGTTATTTAAAAAATACCACGCGATAAAATTACGCAAATTTACCACAATTTGCATGAGCGACGTGTGTAAGTTGGGAGAAGATTATCAAGTACGCAGAACAAACCAAATAAAATGGAATGAATTTTATCCACATTAAAAAGACCCAGTTTAAGTGTAAGTTGGTTTAGCCCAACGGCGGTGAAGAAGCATCATTAATGCAGCATCAGCCTCAGCATGGGGCATGCATATATATATATATATATATATATATATATATATATATATATATATACACTCAAGTGCAAAGTACTATTACATGACTGAGCCGACTTGCCACCAGTTCTTACGATCGCCGAACAACCACTGGAAGGTTTTAGTTGACTTTTCTATTCACCGATGTGGTCACTGCATGCGCTTGGTACATTGGTGGGACTTTTCAGGGCGTCGCGATGTGACCGGTGTTAATCTGTAGATCATTCACGTCGTTGCCACGCGCTGAAAGCAATGGGTGATTGGTCACCAATACCTACGGATTATAGCTCGTACTTGGTGGGATCACCGAATGAGTAGTTATGAAATTCATCATTTGGTCCCTGGCAATATCCCGTTTGGTGTATCATTGGGGTGGAGAAGCTAAATCACTCGTTTGGCTTAGCATGCTCACCGGCTGACGTGTACCGTTAACCTTTTTTACGAGTACTTGAACGGTAGTTCTGTGTAACTTATCGATGACTAGAGAAAAGCATGAAGGCGATCATAAGGGCTGGTGCCTGTCATCTTCGTGATTGGCCAGTCCATTGGTCGGTTGCTTCGTTATACCACAGTCAAAGTCAATTAATCTCTCGCATACATCACTTTGGGTTACTTGTTATTATTGTTTTAATGAGCTGACTGAGAAAAATGAAATCCACTGCACTTCGGTGCGCTTAACCAAATCCTGATCTTGTTATCACAAATAACCACCAACCGGAAGTGCAACGCGTTCGATGCCGATACTTTTCTGTAATCCTCGCTCATCTTTTATTTACGATTTATCTTCACTTAATGTGTGATGTATTGCTTCCTTCAGGAGCTGATGTGGACGTGGGTGACAATTTCATGGCTGATCCATCCTTCGTTGGCTTGCCTGAAATGGGAGTCCCTGGTTCCGGCTTCGGTCCTGTCGGTGTGGCTCCTGGCGTTGGTTGGAGCCAACTGGATACAGATCCCACAGATGCTTGGTAGCTTAAACATTTGTTAAATACAATTTTGATTGGAACAGTCTTTGTCTGTTTACAAGGCGGTTATAGTTATCACGTTTGATCCCTATATGACTTATTTCTCTCCACTTGCTAACGAATTAACCTTTTTCCACACTGAGCATGTTTTCTGTAATTCAGCCACCGACGTGTCGTGAGGCAAGCCAACTTGCCTTTTTCTCAAGTCCACACTAGTCACTCAAACCTGGAATGACATCTCGCTCAATATACGACAGTATGCATTCCTTATTTCTGGACTAAGAAGGTTGGTGTCGAAGCTGAAGTATGTTTAGATGTCGCTGGCCCCGGAACTTCATTGTTTCATCTGGCTCTGTAATGTCGTGCCATTTATCCCTCCTTGGCGTACTTCGCCTACATTCATGCGCTCCCCAATATATACACAGAAGGTGATCAACAGACCAGTTGCAGAATAGCGACGTTACTTTTGTCTATACTCAGCGAAACCTCCGGCCAAAGATATCTGCAACTCAGATTTGAAAAACGTGAAGACAAGATGAAGTCTAGTCGGTCCATGCATTTCGTATTGCCTTCTCGGTACCATTAACAATAACTGATATGCATACATTTTGCCAACATTGGATGCGACCCAACAAACTTAAGGTGCAGGTCCAGGGAAACAGGCTGACAAATTGTTTTTTTCCATTTAATTCATCATCGTCACTCCCAATCAGCAGGCTTAGGCTAGCCTGAAAAAGCACCAGATACCGGCGTCTCGACCTTCTGGGTCTCGTCAGTAGTGCGTCTCCCAGCGGACCCCTGCCGGGTTCCGCCCCCATGGTTTCAGGATGCCAGTAGCTAATGCCACTTTGCCATGTGTGACAGCCGCGGACCTGCGTGATTAACAGTTGACTATTATCTATCACAGCTCATCTTCCACTGCCATGCCAGTTACGAACTGTAGAGGACAATGACTAGCCTCACGTGCTAGGACTTTCCGCATAGCGCCTATGTACCACATAGGACTTAGAAGCTATACGGACGTATTTTATAATACTAATGAGTAGTAGTGAGTTTACTATAATTCAGTTAATTCATCATCGTCACTCCCAATCAGCAGACTTAGGCTAGTCTGGCTTCGTCCGGCTTATTGCGATAGCTTCAACCAATAAAAGAGAACGCGGCTTAGCGTGACGCAACCCAACTTTGTACGCTGAGCTCAGCGCTATCCGGTGTCTCAAGATCGTGTTTTCCTGTTGAGGAAGCCAGCGGCCTAGGCGAGCACGGAAGTTGAAAGAGTATGAAGTTTTTGCAGTCCCAGCCTGAACCAATTTAGCCACGTTCATTTTTTCGGGAATTCAAAGTTCTGTCTAAGTAGATGGCTTTGTAGCCACACAAAATTGGTATACAGTATGGGTTGTTTCTTATAAGCTAAGTTTTCCTTGTTGTATATATGGCAAGATTTCGGGTTCCGTTGACGTCGGCAGCAAAATAACTTCCTTGAGTGCCCTAGGTTATATGCTTCCTTGTCTTCGGCGTCGCAGAATCTCCTTCGAAAGTTAACCCGGTATAAACCTTGTTATTGGCTGCCGTGTGGATCCAGTCCTTCGGCTTTCGCAGTTAGCTGTGTTCATCGACAAGTCTTCGAGGGTAGCTGTTCGTCAAAGGTGTTGTAATTAACTTTAACTCATTGGCCAGACAATCGCCGGACTCACAAGAGTCGGTAGAAGCGTACACCAAACACTTGCATTCTCAATTATGCTACTGAACTTCGGAGCGCTTTCCTGTATATCATATACAAATGCACATGACATCTTCAGCAAATTATCGAAGTATCAATCTCTTCTAGCCTTGATGTATATGGACCTCATTGACAACCGAGACCTGGCTGCACGACGAGATCATGGATGCAGAGAATGCTCTGCCAGGTATATCCATCCGACCTTCAGATAAATCTAGTAGAGCAGATAATATAATTTTGTACCATCGCAATGACCTGCATTTCCGAACCGTTGATGATCCAAAGATTCCATTCGTTGATTCACTTTGTTTGGACTTGCAACCAAGAATTGGCGACACATGTTTAGTTGCTCTCGCATACCGTCCTCTGACGCCCACTAGAAGTGGACACCATCCAGCTTCTGCACTGAAAACCGTTGTAGCTCTGCCTTACAGTCTCGTTCCCCCTGCAGCAGACTAACTTATACGCTCTCAAGGTTCTGACTGCTCTTGGTGAACAGTTTGAGACCGAACTGTAAGAACTAGTCGCTGGTCTACCACTTCATCACTTCACGTCACTTTCTCTACGAGACTCAGAATGGGGAATAAACCGGACATTTTGGTTCTCGTCTTTACCGTTTCGAAATTTAAGATCGGTGAAATAACAGTGAGCAGCCTCTCAGGGCGCAGCGATCATGCGACACTGCTTTTCCGCTACGTCTGTTGCGCAGCACACCTCATTGGGATCATTGAGGATGTTGGTGTCGTGACACGTCACAACATTTTCTCCGACGGTATCAAGGTCACCGATTAGTCGTTTCTAACTGAACAATCTCTCGATGTCGCTTTAGTTGAATTCCTCAACTAGTTCAGCACTTCAGCAACAAGCTCATTAGGGTCTAAGATCCTTAACTCAATTAAGGAAAATTCCTTCCTAAGAGATTCACTTTGCTAATAATACAAAGCAAATCAGAACATTGAAAACTTGAATGCTTACATCAACGTGTGAGACCATTGTGTCAGACTACTCCGGGAACAGAACTTGAGACACCGACAGCATCTAGTGATCTTTATCTCCTTTAATTCCTAGGTATGGCAACACGCTCCGCAGTTTAGCGAGGCATCCCTTTAAACATCGTCTGTGGACATGCGCAATGTGGAAGATATGTGAAAACGTGTGATACTGATCACCACGAAACAAGTAGGGTAGTATCATGCGTCTGGAATATGGTCATTGTTGGATGGGAAGCTAAAGAGGAGGAGGGACGAAGAGATGCACAACACAAATGCCAGTTATGTCGGCCTCCTAGCCATGTCAACGGGTGTATCCAACCAGTCTTATTCATTGCCCTTCGGACCTCAGCCTGGCAGTCGGGGGACACCAACCGGCGCCAAGTATGAAGCGTTTTCATTCCTCTTGATCAAGCCATCGCTTGACCTCACCTCATCTATTCACACCCGAGCGCGGAAGCAAGACATCGCGGGAGTCATTGTGTTGGTATACACAACACGAGGCCCAACTATCGTAGCCTGGAACCTGAAATAACGGTGTTGGTCAGTTCACTTGTTATTCCTGCACCAGATGCGAGACGCTGGACACGCTCGTTGCTCACGTGGTGTTCCCACCAGACTTTAGCTAAATTGCGAAGACAGCGGTTGTCGGAGATAACAAGCCACTTTAGATATGTCAGTCTGATGTCCCAGATTTCGCAACTGTAACTGCAGGGTTTAACGTACAGCATATGTAACATTTTAAAATGTATGACTTACAGTATCACTGAGACCACAGATCTACCATGTCATTGCCACTGTTCAATTGTTCTCTGAACTGAATGGTGTAGAAACCTAAATCTATCCAGGTTCTGATCTGCTGCATAGATTTGACCTTCACGACATTCTGACCGACTGTGGTGGGAATTCGCTTTATGTCCGACACAACGAACTTGCACCGGTGTCCGCGTGTGCTACATGACGTTCGCAATTGAAGCAGTAGCCTCAACTTGGGAGTTACCCAGGTATAGCATGCAGTAGGTCACCATGAGATCGACTCACACTGGCGTTTGTACGACAATCTTCGTAAACTTAGAATGAGCTTGGTAGCGACGTGCTGGATCTGCTCGATCTTTCATGCCTCGCCTCCGAAAGTTAGACAGTAAGCACATGAGCCGTACTCCATTCTTATGATAGAACAGAAGAATCGAGTGGCGACCACTTCAGACCAAATACCGAAGTCGTGTTTGTGCGCCCAAAGCATTAGCAGTCCGTTACGATATAGCCTGTTGATGTTGCCCACTGACTTCAAATTACACTGCGAGCTTACACCTGGGTCCTTCATGGAAGCCACAGAATGTAGCGATTATCCGTCAATGGTGTAAGTTCGGCCGTCACCACCCCCAGAGTTATGAATACCGACTTGCTTGGTTGGTCGTAAGGCGGACTTCTACAGACCACACAGAGGGACCTTTTGCTGAAGTAGGCCGCAGGTGTCTGGTGTGCCAGTCACTCTCTAGATCTTCTGGTCGTTCGCAAACAGGGCACATGACGACCGAAAAATCTGTGGTTAATCGTTGATGTTGATCAGGAACAGAGCGGGCCCAAGCACCGTGCCTTGGGTATGCCACTACTAAAAGGATAGCAGTCAGTTAGATGACTGTCGACTAGTACTCTCTTCTTTCATCCAACAAGCAATCCTCGTGTCAGCTGTTGCGGTGATCCACCAACATCACACAGCGTCGACCGCCTTGCTGAAATCGATGTAGATTACGTGGACAGACATTCCCAGGTTCGCTCTCTGTACCCATTTATACCTCGTCACCAGCAGATTGATGCATGAGTGGCCAAGCATCAAAGCGTGCTGTGTGGGTGTCCGTAGATCTTTTGATTGCAGCAGCTTTAGTAGACCCTTCTTCATGATCTCGGCAACCTTGGCCAAAATAGATGGCAGACAAATCGGCCTGTAGTTGTCCACTTTGCTTTCGGAATTGACTTAACCACTGAGCACTTCCAGTCGCTCGGCAGTGAACATTCGGATATAGACCTGTTGAACAGGTTAGTAAGTTAGGCGAGGTGATGGCCGTAAAGGACGAGAGAATCAATGAGTGGAGTCCGTCAGGGCCAGCAGGTTTGGTGCCGGCAACGCTGCTGACAAATTGACGTACCTTTACAATGCCGCAAACCAGACTGCCGAACAGTAGACACCGGGACATTCGCAGACACGGAAGTGTAGTACGCCGCCAACGCGGCCGCACGCTCAGCGTCGGGAGTTATAAGCTGTCCGAGACACTAAACATTACAGAATGCAAAAATCTAAAAAAAATGTAATGCCAAGTATTATATTACAGATAA